TCAGACTTCGCCGCTCCCCAGCCCTGCTGAGATCCCGCCGCCGAGTGTTCCTGAGGTCTTGCCGCCGAGTGTTCCTGAGGTCCCGCCGCGTCCACCACACTGGTCCTGCATCCGGGCCATCCCCGGGCGGGTCAACGCGGCCACCGAGCCGGACCTCTATGCACCGCCCCTGGTAACCCTTCTCCCCGTCTTCCTTTTCGTTTGGGTCTGCCCGCACAGTCACACAGTACGAGTCGTCACAACTTTATGTTCATAGATGAAGGAGGGATAATAATACAGTAGATGCTTTGGATGTCTTAGATATAGTTGTGCAGCATTCTTAGGAGACCGAATAGCAGCAGATGATAGAAAGCTCATTAAAACAGGAAGAGACATGAGAGATTTATTTTTTAGAGACTTGAGACTTGACTTGGACTCGTGACCAAAGACTTGAGACTTGACCAAGTCTCACCCCACAAAGACTTGAGACTTGACTTGGACTTGTAACCAAAGACTTGAGACTTGACTTGGACTTGCAAAAAAAGACTTGAACATCTCTGCCGTGAAGTGAGTTGTGAGTTTCCGGAATTCAACTCAGACTGATAGGTCTATGGCTCTAAGCCAAACCTTCTTGCCTGGTATGTACAAAGGGGCTTGGGAATGGCGGTGGTTTACTTGAATCTCCATCCTGTGTGACGACTGCTGTAGCGCAGCCCGGCCTTTATCCTGGTCCTCTTTCAAATCTGGATGAACATCTGAACGGGGGAGACTGTGACTTCCTCTTCTTGTGGGGGGAACAAAGGAGGTCGGTACCCCAGCGGACACAGAGGGCACCTCGTACAGTGAAAACATACTGAGGGAAATACAAGGCTAACTGGGAGTATCCATGGGAGGTTATAACACAGTGCTGACAGTGAACAGTGAAGAAAACTTGCAGACCATAGTATCCATAATTTATACAGAGAGCCACAAACTTGGTCTGTCTTTAAACAAAAAGAAAATAGAATTCATGGTAATTTCAAAGAAAAATGTCATCCCAACCTGTAACATAAAATTAGACCAAGAAATACTGAAGCAGGTTCATCATAAATTATTAAAATAATGAAATATCTCGGTTCATGGATAACCTCAGATGGGAGGTGTGAAACAGATATCAGATGTAGAGAGTCACAATGAAAGAACAGCATTTATGAAAATGAAAAATATACTGACAAATAAGAAAATAGCAATTAGCATCCATATGAGAACTCTCAGCTGTTACATTCTACCAGTTCTGATGTAGGGATGTGAATCTTGGAACATAAATAAGAAAATGTCAAACAAAATCACTGCAGCAGAGCATGCTACGTATATCTTATATGGACAGAATAAGCAGTGAAGATGTTTTAAAATTACTAAACACCAATTATAAGCTATTGAAAAAAAATTAGGAAATGGCAAGCAACATTTTTTTGGACACATCATGAGGAAAGAGACCCTGGGATATATTGTCACGACAGGAAAATTAATGGGAAGAGAGAACAAGGCAGACAGAGAATGAAAATGATAGACGGTCTGACATCATGACTACACATGGAACGGGCAACAGTCACAATTCAGAAACCCAAAAATCAGATTAGATGGAGAGAAATGATCGCCTACACTGAATGGCATGGCACTTGATTGATTGATTGATTGATTGATTGATTGATTGAGTGATTGGAGATAGATGCTCCAAGCCAATGGGTGCAACGCAGTCATGTCTCCAATACTTGATTGGTCCTTTCTGTTTGGCTATTTGACTGTGAAGGAAACCAGAGTTGAGACTGGCAGTGGCCCCTCAGTGCAATGCAGAAGGCCTTCCCTACTTCTGGCATTAACTTGGGGCCCCAGTCAGTCACGATGTCAGCTGGAATGCCATGGATGCGAAAAACATGGTGGATCAGAGCATCGGCCATCTCCTTGGCTGAAGGTAATTTGACAGGGCAATAAAATAGGCTGCCTTGAGAAGCGGTTGACCAAGGTGATAATGGGGGGGTTTCCCTCTGAGGGAGGCAGTCTGAGGCCAACAAGTGCTAAGCATCTCTGGGAACTCCTTCAAGACTGTTGGAAAACCATTTCGAGTGACTACCTCTTGAAGCTCATCAAGAGAATGCCAAGAGTGTGCAAAGCAGTAATCAAAGCAAAAGGTGGCTACTTTGAAGAACCTAGAATATAAGACATATTTTCAGTTGTTCACACTTTTTTGTTAAGTATATAATTCCACGTGTTAATTCATAGTTTTGATGCCTTCAGTGTCAATCTACAATGTCAATAGTCATGAAAAGAAAGAAAAGTCTTTGAATGAGAAGATGTGTCCAAACTTTTGGTCTGTACTGTGTCTTTTTACTTGTTTGCTCGCACTTGCATTTGATTTGCATCACAACTCCAATTTTAGCTTGCTTTCTCTGTTTACCAAATACACTGTAAGATGATTTGTAGTTTTGTTGACATTATGCTTTCACAACCATGCTAAATATACATGTACATTCAGTTGTGTATACATAGCACTTACAAACATTCATAGTAACCACATCAATTTAATTTTTATATAGATTATTGTTTTAGAAATCAGGATTTTTTTGTTATATATGTAACATCTGTGGAGAATCATGAAGATAGCAGTCTACTATCTGCTAACATGTCTCATCCAATCTGGGGATGCTTAATAGTATCTGCCAGGATGAAACTGACGAAATCCAGAGTTCTAAAGCTCATAGAGACTCACCAAAGAAGAATCAATCCTGTAATTGCTGTCAAAGGGGTTTATACAAAGTGGGGGAATTTAGTTCATTTAGTTGCTGAAGGAATTTAGTTGTTTTTTTGTTTGTTTGTTTGTTTCTTTCTTTCGGTCTTTTGTTCTTTCTTTCTTTTCGTCATAGTTTTTAATACATTTGCAAAAAATAAATAAAAAATCGAAAAATGTGTTTTCCTCCTAAGATTCTTCTCAGTGCAAATGGACAAAACTGGCAATGCATCAATTCCCAATAAAATCCATGACACAGTAAAAGTATGGAAAATGTGAAGGGGTCTGAATCCCTTCCCTTACTTCAGCAAACACATTCAGTGCACACATGCTAGATTTGTCATGGTTTCTGGGTTTTCGTTTCTGGTTTTGTTTTGGTTTTGTAATACACTTGTGTGTGTGTTTTCTCCCCCTTTTTGTCTTTCCTCTGTCTCTGTTTGTGATAGATTTCATATCCAGTGGTGGCTGGTTAATATAGGGTGCAGGGGCACCGGCCCACTACTATTGACCAGCTAAAAAGTAGTTCTCAAACACAATATTAAATTTGAATTAATTATAGCAAAATAATAATAAAATTAAAAATAATGTTCATATTCTTTTGCCATATTAACAATATTTGTAGTATTAACAGATTTAAAATGAGATTTTCCTGTGTGTTTACTAATTTTACACTTCCTGGATGCAGGGCGCTGGCCGGTGTGTATGTAGCTCAAAAAACTTTGCGTGATCATGTGACCTTGGCCCGGGCAGATTTTCTCACAGGGTGCAGCTTGGTGCGTCCTGGACCCATCCACTTTTGCTGTAAGCCAATTAATTTTTTCTTTATTTGCTTTTTTCTTCTGTGGTTGGATATCAAAACTGTCCTTCGATGTCCTTACGACTGCGTTTTCTGAGCTTTGCCCTCGCTCTCCTACTAGATGACAGCTACTGGCGTGACAGCTAAATGCATTGGCCGTGCTGTCCAAGGAGAAAAGGCTGCTCATAGAAGAGACTGCGTGTAGAATTCATCTAACATGGTTTAACCACAAACAAATCTGACTTTAAAACGCCATAGTTTATTATTTTTAAAGTCATTTCTGGTCACACACCTGTCAGAGCACACCACAGCCACCAACCACCAACAGCAGCTACCACAGCCTGCAATGTGGGGCATTTAGGGAGCATCAGTAAATCGTAGCGTCTATCGATAAGAAAATGTTCAGCAAGTCATACGTTTTGCCTTTGACCAGGTGGGAGGTGCAACAAAATGAGAAAGAGGGTCGTACTGGTGCTACCAGTGAAAAAGTTAGTGTGGAGCACAGAAGAGTGTTTTTTTTATTTTATTTTTTCATTATTTATGTTGTGTATTTTGAGTTTGTACAGATCCTGTAAATAATGATGAAAGTTTGATGAATGGTTTTGAAATTTAGTTCTGGTAAGACTTAATAATGTTAAATTAGATTATGATTAGAATATACTCCAAAGTTAGAAAATTTGCATTCCTGTCAATAGTTGTGCCTGATGTTACCCATATTCTAATTTATGATTCAAAATAAAAGGTCATTTGCAGACTGTGCCTCCCCACCAAAACTTTTCACCAGTTGCCACTGTTCATATCCCTTTTCAGTTACTTGCTGTTTTATTTTTACATTTCCAATGCTTTACTTCCTGCCTCTGTCCCTTTCCCTCCCTTCTGATTGCCCTGATCTGGTTTATCTGAGTCTAGTGAATCAGCTGTGTCTTGTCTCCCAATACTGTTCCCTGTGTGTATATATAGCCCTGTGCATTCCTTTGTTCACCTGTTTGTCCTATTCTGTCCTCTTTCTGTCACTCTACTGTTTAACCTTCCTGTCCACTGACATCCTGTTTTGTCTTTGTTTACTGTTTTGTTCTCTCACTGGTTTCCAGCTTGACCCCTTCTGTATGTTCCATGTGCTCCTTGTGTTTTCCACGCTTGTGTTTTTCATTTTGGATTTTAGATTCTTTTACCAGATTTGTATTTGTTTCAGTGTTTGGATTAGTTACCATTTTTAGATTCACACTGACCTTTTAGTTTGGAGTTTTCCTGAATGCTCAGCCACTTTCTGTTCGCTCCCCTCCTTTTGTACCGTTGCCAAGCTTGTTTTGATTAAAGTTTCTTTTTTTATGTTAACCTGCCAGTCTGTGTCTATATTTGGATCCTTCCCTGATATTCTGTGACAAGATTGTCCGAGTGTGTAAAGCAAGCATATGCCCAAAATCACCATAGTAAAAAACATTAAACATTAACATTACTCACTGGCAAACACAGACACATTGTCCTGATATGCCTGGTTCAGGGTGTAATTGACAATGCTATCTTCATCAGGAAAGCCCTTGAAGACATCAACACTGACCTGGAAACACAAGACAAAGACACAAATTATGTTCCACAGCAGAAAAGGACCCATGACAGATTATTGTTAATGCTGAGCACCATCAGCTGAGCATCTGCAAGTTTGCACTAGAGTCAACAGCGCAGTGTTACCTTTTCCTGCCTCTAAACTGTGTCTCTGAGCTGGTGAACAGATATTACCTTGCTCATAGCATTTTATAGTATCTTTCACTTTGGAGACTTTTATTGGAATATATATACCAGCAATTACCACCGTGTTGTTTGATTTATCTTTCTGTCTTGTAAACAAATGAAAAATAAAATATGATGGTATCTGGGGATTTCTTTTTCATCCTACCCGGGACGCGAACTGGGGATCTTCTAGATGTGAGGCGACAGTGCGAACCACCAAGCCACCTTGTAGCCCCAGTAAAAATAGTAAGATGTTTAATGTGTAAATAAATGATTTTTAATTTCAACTGCAAGCATGGATTTTACATTCTGACTATGCATTCTATTATGTTGCTAAATCACTGACAGAAGTCTGTAACTCTAGCCACACCATCTCATACAAACCAATTCATACCAACCCTACGCTGGGTTTTCACAGTATTTATATCATAACATGTTGAAGAATGTGTTTTTAACAGTATCTTATTTACAATGTTTATGGAAATTATGATGGAGTTAAAAAGCTAAGGTTTCCTTATGCAGAAAAAAACTGTCTGTTTAATTTTCTGATAACTACATTGCAGCATAAATCAGAAATGTTCAGAAAAGCTTAATATTTCGTTCTTTGCGATACTCTGTACATATCTAATTTAAATATATTTATGTTTACATACTTATATATCTATACTTTTTTTAGACTCATTTGGTCCCATATGTCCAAACTTGGTACAGCTACAGGGCATTTGGGTAACAGCTGTTTCGCAGCCTGTGACATACAAGCATTAAGGCAGCACTCCATAGTAGTAACATCTGCTTGTGCTCTCTTTTCTACACTTATTTTGACCTGGAGATTACTAAAGTCAAATTTTATACTTTTCCAAACTCCTAATTTCAGCTCTGTACCTCACATACAGAAACGAGACTAATTTCTATCTAAATTCACTCTTGGCTGAAAACAAATAAATGACGACCTGAAGTCAGGCCTATGTTGTTTTTTTTAATCAAAAGCTTTACAACGATAGGTATGCAGTGTGAACACTTTAACACCACACATCAGTGTTATGCTGATAATCATTCTCACGCCAATGTAGTCTGCTGACACAGCTAACATATCACGGTGACTTAGTGGTTAGCACCGTCACTTTGCAGCTAGAATTCTACAATTCAACAATTTCATTTAGCAGGCACTTTTATCCAAAGCGATGTACATCTAAGAGCGGATACAACACAAGCAAGGATCTAGCCAGGAGAAAACAATCTGGACAAGTGCCATGGAACAAGTTCAAGTGTGTTAGGGTGTTGATGCCAATAGCAGGCTGTGTAGGAGGTAATCAAAGTTTTTGTTTTGTTTTGTTTTTCAGTGGTTCACATCCCAGTTAGAATCTTTCTGTGTGGAGTTTGCATGTTCTCCCCGTGCAGCGTAGGTTCTCACCAGGTTCTCCAGTTTACTCCCACAGTCCAAAAACATGCTGAGGTCAGTTTGTGGTTCTAAATTGTCCGTAGGTGTGAATGTGCTTGTTTCCCTCTCTGTGTAGCCCTGTGATAGACTGGTGACCTGTCCAAGGTGTTCCCTGCCTTCACCCTGAGTCGGCTGGGATAGACTCCCCGTGATCCAAGTGAGGATTAAGATATACGTATGTATGTATAGATAATGGGTGGGTGGATGTTTACTTATGCAAACACATAACATACACAGGATACTTAAAATCCCATACAGTACCAGTACAACCAGTACAGAGATGAGTGATGTAAATATACTGAAAGTTCAGCCAAAGCTAACTGTATAACCATTTTTTTTTATCAATGGTTACTTACTTGCCACAAGTGTCTGAGATAAATGCATTTGCTGACCTGTATCTTAAATAAACCTACAGCATTTTTTGAAGTCCCAAAGCACAATGGACAGATGAAGCCATAAGTTTTACATAATTTACAATAATTCTGAAAAGGCCTGTTCATATTTGTATGCAGACTCCTACTGGAAAGCTATTGTATGTTGCACACATCAGACAAACTCTCCTCATTAAGGAAATCAATGTTGTCTCTTTTATTTTATTTGTAATTTCCAGACTATTGAGCGGACCTTAATATTAGCCGCATCCACTAACTTTAAAAAGAAAACAAATGTTGTCCATATATAGGCCGCACTNTGAAAGAGACTCAACTCCCATCAGACACATATCTTATCCGACGGCTGGAAACTGAACAATCATTGCTCAACCACAAGGTCTGGCTGCTAATTCTTATTGGGTTCCTGTTATTGTGGGTGTTCCTCCTTTATTTGTACTTCATTGTTGTGACGGGCTGCGATACACATCACTAACACTTAAAATGACACCTTACACCCTGAGACGTAGACTGTACACATATGTTGGGAATGATGCAGGTGCTAACTGGTTTTGTCGTTTCTCTGCCATAATCCACCATCACCCTCACTGTTTGTTGGTGTACACATACATGCATCTTCCAGTTTTGTGACCGGCTCCGCCTCAGCAATTTTGAGGGATACAGAGTGCGAGTGTTTGTAGGTCTCCTCTGTGTGTCCACGTTTCATCAAGGACACTGTCCCTGCTGCACTGGTTTTGTGTTTTGCTGTCCGTCAGAGCGTTGTAACAGACTGTTCACCCTTGTAGGTAAACCTTTTGATTTCCCTTTTCACCAACACACACACCTCACACATGATTAATGTTGTACATACATGTAGCTCCCTCCATCTTTGCTGTAAATATCCAACTGGGGTCTATCCTCCGCAAAAACAGCAAGTTTTCCAATATTGTTTATGAAGTTTCTACTTAAACTGTGGAAAGGGTGTAGAAATGGATGTTTTGATATGTCTGTCTGTCATAGTTATTCTTTTCAAGTTGATCAAAGAATGATCAAAAGGGGGGAGTGTAATGGAAAAATACTGCATCTGCATGAAGAATGTCAAAGCAAGCTTCTCTAAGTTTCTCTAAGTTTCATTAAAGCTGAGTGGAAAGGTTACAGGCCCAAACATGTGTTCTCATAACATCTAGGTAAACACTGGTGGCCGTACATGGGAAGAAGTTGTGCATCCCATGTGTTTAGACTTTTGATGCCTGATCCAGCGTGTTTAGTCTTTGAATGTCTGTGGATGAGTACACCCTGTACACCCAGCTGTTGTTTTCCAGCATGGGATTGTTATACTACCATTGGAGTAAAGACCACGCCTGTACATGTATAAGAATCCTATGCTGCCTGCATTCATGTGTACTCTCCTGCAGACTGCTTGCATTCTGTATGACCTGTACCTTCAAAGCTTTGAATAAAACAAGACAAAGACAACTCAGACTACTGGACTTTATGTAGATCATAGAAAATTTCCACAACAGCGTGAGACCACAAACAGAGCTAGAATCCGTTGCAGTTTTGTTACCATCTGCAGGTAGTTGGTCCAGGTGTCAGGGTACCTAAGGTGTCAGGAGGAGTGGTGTGACCACTCCTTTCAGAGTAAAACCTCTGTTTACATCACACAAATAAATAAGGGAAATACCCTGTATACCTCCACTGTACCTCCTTAGCCTGTTCTGCTGCAGGTTTCTTCCTGGTAAAAGAGAGTTGCAACTCTCACTCACTGAAAGGGAATTTATTGGCTCTGTTGGGTTGAATGTGTTTTCCAAGTTCTCTGTGATGTTTTTTTTTTTACTTATCATTGAATATGTACTGTTCACTGACACAAATATGTCTGTGGTCGACTGATAATATTTAGCAGCTCATTCATTGGTCAGAGTGTAAGCTAGAAAAGTTTAATTCCAAATCTGATATGTAGCTGAATGCCTGCACAGCAAGCACTGCTAGGCCTCGGTCACAACTGGCCGTATGGGCTCCTACAGCCTGTCTGTGTCCAAAATAGGGGCAAAATTGTATGTGCCACACAAGTCTGTCCTGCAAAATTTCAAGGTCGCAGACAGCCCGTAGGGGGGGGATCTTTGACATGACAAAAAGATTCTACGAATTCTCTGCAAACATTGTAACTTGTTCCCCCCTACAAGGAGTTTGCGAGTGAGATGTGCACATTTTTAAGATACCATGGGAACAAAGTCTGTGGTCTAAGACGCTCGTCGCACGCAAGGAGGGAGCAATGCCTTTTGTGTGTTAANGACTTCAGGAAGATGAGGACGGCCACACAGCCCCTGAACATCCTGGGAGAGGACATTAAAGCGGTGGAGGACTACAAGTACCTGGGCGTCCACATTGACAGCTGACTGAACTGGAGGATCAACACCGAGGCTGTATACAAGAAGGGGATGAGCAGACTCTACTTCCTGAGGAAGCTAAGATCCTTCGGCGTGTGCAGCAAGATGTTGATGTTGATCAGTCTGTTGTTGCCAGTGTTCTCTGCTGTAGTCTGCTGGGGAGGCAACATCGGAGCCGGCAACACCAACAGACTGAACAAACTGATCAGGAAGGCTGGCTCCGTAATCAGCTGCAAACCAGACACCATGGAAGCGGTGGTGGAGGGGAGGACTCTGAACAAACTGTTATCTATTCTGGATAACCCTGACCACCCTCTCCACCCCCTTCCGGACAGGCAGCGGAGCTCCTTCTCAAACAGATTGATTCAGCTCCGCTGTCACAAGGACCGTTACAGGAAATCATTCCTGCCCAGAGCAGTAACCCTGAACAACACCTCACCTCTGTCTGGCAGAGAGCATTCTCAGCTCTCTGCTCTGTAAAACCCTCTGTCTTTTTACTGTTTTTTTCAATTTGCACATTTTGTACAGTTATTTTATTTATTTGTTTTATTTTATTTAATTCACTTATTTTTATTTTTCATTTTTTTAAACAGTATTTAACTTTAGCCCTTTTTCTCTTGTGATTGGTGTTTTTTTCTTTTTTTCTTGCTGCTGCTGTACCACAGTAATTTCCCAGACTGGGATAAATAAAGTATTTTTCTATTCTTTCTATTCTATTCTATTCTTAGGTTCAAGTAACGTGAACAAATGGATGTAAAGGGAAAATATGAATGCTCACATGATTTTTTTCACAGAGGACATTTATGTGAGCATACCTGTTGTAGCCACGACAGATAGCTGCGCAGCCGTCCTTCCTCCAGTAAAGTCCTGAGCTGGGTGGAGATGTTGAGCCACACCCTGGTGTAATGGGTCACATTCCCGACAAATGCAAATGTCTCATTTGCCTAAGACAAAAAACATGAACAAAGTTAACAATGGTTTGACACTGTGTGTCAATAATCCCCTAAACTAATCAACTAGTTCATTTGGTCAGACAAAAGAACTACAGAGCTTCTGCCATAGCCAGTCTGTAATAATCAGTGGCTATTTGTGCTCATGTTGAGGCACAGACAAGCCATCAGCATGAAATGCCACAGAGCTGGATTTATCAGGTAGCTTCATGTGAACAGCACATTGAATTGTCCATTATGATGTCTCCTCCTTAGAATGGAAATCATCAATGTAAATTAAACTGCACATGCATCATGACTTTAAGAGATAAAGTTGATGGTATTCTATGTTGCTCTTGTGAAAAAGTCCCATGAAAAAGGTAAACCTAACAATGTGTCAGCAAAAACTTGTTGCTTTCAGTACTCTCTCTGTGGTTATTATTATTTTTTTAAATGCTTCTAAAACAGCTGTACTTTTTAGCAAACAGGAGGAAATATTGAATTTGGCAGAGTCTACTTTTACTGGCAGATAAATACACATCTAGGGCTCTACTAAGTATTTTTGGTAGCAAAAAAACCAAAAATGTATCTGTTCATGGTTTTGAAAGAACATGTCACCCAGTGCAGCAGCATGGATAAGAAGTACTGACAGTGGTGAACTAAAACACACTAACAGCAATACATTTGCTAGTGCTAAAGTCACAACAGCTCTTTCATCTTCTTTCTCTTTTCTTTTTGCCAGCAGTTTACTCTTTCGGAAAATAAACAATAATAGGTTTAACCATAGATGTTCAATTCTTTATCACAGGACAGAAGACAGAAGGACAGAAGGAGTGCACTGTCTGTGAGAATAATGTAGCTCAGTTTGTACGAGAACACCAAAGACAGAGTTGTCCACATGCCTTCTGAATCACTTTGTCCACTTGGGAGCCAATGGGGGAATAGAGGATCTTGGGATTTGTGGTCATCAAGTGAACCAGGAGGCCCAGATTCCTCTGTTCTTTGCTGGTGAATCCCAGAGAGCTCATATTCCCCTGTTTCAAAGCCTCCGGCTCGATGATCCTGCAACAAGAGCCACAGCCACTTTACCACTGAGTCTCAGTACATAGGAATTTTAAATGTAGTTTAATGTAATCTTTCACAGTTTGTTAAATTGAATAGAAGTGAAAGACAGAGTTAATGCTTTCACTATGCAAATTTATACCACATAAGCAAAACTATCCTGCATTCCATCATCTGACCAGGAAATCATCTTATTAGTTTCTCAGTTAGGGTTTAATATCTAAGTTAGTATCTCAGTTAGGACAGATTGTTAAGGACAGATACAAAAATGAAGTGCATGCACAAATGAGTGTATAATTTTATTTTATTCCAACCTGAGTCTTTTTTGTAGTTTTAACATTCATTGCAATCTGTTAAAATCATCACATGTGGGAATATAATGGCAATGCTAGTTGTGTGAAGCTTAACAGTAAAGGTCTGTGTTGTAGAACCAAGAGAACAGGCTGGAACAAGCTTGAATGCGCCAGAGTTGGGCTACATTGTGCATTTCAGTGATAGTTCTTTAATGCAAATCTTTCTTACACAAACATAGTCCTTGAACTCACTGTACATATTAAAATACTCCTGCAAAACCTACCACATCATCTTACTACTTGTGATTTTGTTCATCTGAAAGTCTTTTTAAATGTACTTGCAATAAACTGGACTTGTTATTTACACTGTAAAACTATTTGTCTGTGCTTATGCTCATTTTATTTTAAACAGCCTAAGGTATAAGATTTCATTTCATATCATCACATATATTTTTTGTCATTTATGGATTTCATGTGCTCTCTTATCTCACCCACCTGTTGTTCCCACACAGAATAGGCTGCAGTCCAGCCCACAGTTGTACAAATGCTGAAAACTGAGAATGTGGGTTGTCTGCTTCTTCGTTTCCTTTACCAACTCCTGCTTCTCCACCTTTCTCTGGTCCGTCTTCCCCCTCAGCTCCAGGAATTTCAGTTGTGTTGGGGCCCCACATGGTGGCATTTAGGGGCCAGGTACTGTTTGTGGGGGATGCTGGAGTTCGACCAGTACAGGCTCCTTTGGGCAGCAAGCGAGCCAGACCAGAGAGCAGGTCCACGTCTTTAAGAAGCCGCTCTATATCAGTCAGGTCCTTCAGCAGGGCTCCAAAATGAGACTGTGAGAGAGGAATCAAAGAACTGGGCTGCTCCAGGTGAAGCTTATGGGACAAGAATGAAGATGGACAGAAGGACAAAGGGTGGAAAAAATTACATATTTTGTTGAATTTAAAATAAACACAAGAAAATACAGTCAGCAACAAACACATTAAAAAAGACCGTTTCTTGAAATGGAATGCACTTTTACATTTTATTCAAATTAAACAGTACTTCAAACCTGCTGTTGCTGCTGAGCATAATGAATGAATTCTGTCTTCTCATGCTTTAAAGACGCCAGAATTAGTCCATCTTTTACATTTATTGTGCATTTTCTAAAAGTCACCTTGTGGAATTGGAATGACCACTCATAACATACAAATAAGTTGTCTTTCAAATTGTAATAAAATTTACTGCTAATTTACTTTAAACCTTGAAAGTCACAATACATCACTAATTCTGTGTGTGAGTAAACAACATTATTGCGGTTGCAGTAGTCTTCCTTTCTCTCTATAAAATTTGCCTGATCTTGTCATTCCCTGAGAGAAAATCACACAAACAATTTCATGACAAATTAACTGGCGAAGTAACTGTTTAAACAAAAAGGCAAAAAAAAGTAAATGACCATTTCTATGACAGGAAACTCAGGAAAATACAGGGGCAAACTGAGTGTTGGTCAGACAAAAAAGCAATTTGAATATGGTGGCTGAGACAATTATTATACAGACACAAGCAGTTTAAATGTTGCACAGTATTTATTATCATACACATTAGTTTAGTCTAGATAAGCGTGGACATGGTCATTTGATTGTAAAGTGTTGTGTATCAACAGGGACTGTTGCAAAAACCAACTTGTCAGAGATAAAAACAAAGAGATGTTTACAAGAACTTGGTCATATGTTTTATTTTTTTCTAAATGTATCTGCCAGAGAGAAGGAAGTTCATCCTGCAGCATGGTGCTACACCTTAATGAAGGCTGCTTCATACAGATGTGCGTAATGCCTCTGCTGATGCAGCTGCGAAAGCTGTGGCGAAGCTTTCGGTTGCAACCACACGCACTTTAGTTTCTTTCTCATCACAGGATGTTCTCTCCTCTTTGGCTGCTATGCAACAGTTTGCTACACCACAAGAGCGAGCCGTGTGGCGTGCATGCGGCTGCAAGGTTGATTCTGGTGTGTGGGTAGGACCGAATAGCAAACCATGCCTGCCCAAACACTTCTTTCCCCATTTTGCTAAATTGACACATGAGTTAGACCATGTGTCAAAAGGGGGGATGTTGACTGCAATTAACACCCATTGGTTTACAAAAAACATTTTCAGTTTCTGCTCAGAGACACTGTGAATCATGCATAGTGTGTGTCACACAGAATGCTGGTAAACCAATCAAACCACAAGCAATGGCAGCACATCCACCTCCTGAGAGACCATTTGAGCATCGACAAATGGATTTCATTGAACTCACACCATCTGAGGGGAAAAAGCACTGTTTGGTAATTGTAGACATGTGGTCAAAATGGGTCGAGGCTTTCCCTACTTCATCCCAGACAGCTGATGCAGTGGCAAAGGTGCTCCTGAGAGAAATCATCCCAAGGTGGGGCATCCCATCCAAAATTTCCACCGACAATGGCCCACATTTTGCTAACGAAGCAATCACACAGGTCAGTGAATTCCTCGGAATTGACCTTAGGAAGCACTGTGCATACCATCCAGCCAGTGGAGGTGCGGTGGAAAGAGAAAATGGGACCATAAAGAACAAATTGGCCAAATGCTGCGCAGACACAGGACTGCCGTGGACCAAAGCTCTGCCTATTGTCCTAATGCACATGAGGATGCGGAAAAGAAACAAAACTAACCTCAGTCTGTTTGAAATTCTGTTTGCAGCTCCACCACATGTGGGGCTGGAACCTCCAACAGGGCCCCTCCCATCCACAACTCTCTGTGAGAACAACATTTTGGTCTATTGTGCTAATCTGTCTTCTAAACTAGCAGACATCAGGCGCCAAGTAGCTGTGGCCCTACCAGCTCCAGCCTCAGGACCACTGCACACACTCCAACCAGGGGACTTCGTGGTCGTCAAGGACTTCTGCAGAAAGAACTGGAAGGCCAGATGGTGGCTGGGACCTTTCCAAGTTCTCCTGGTGACCCAGACAGCGGTAAAGGTTGCTGAACGAGCCACCTGGATCCACGCCAGCCACTGCAAGAAGGTGTCGCTACAGGCTGAGCAGTAGACGAGGTTCCCTTCTACAGGTGACGTGCCAAGTCACCGACTCTCGTGAGACCAGGACCAGAAGCAGAGGGCTGATAGCCACATCAGCAGAAGAGCACCTGTACACTGATCAGCACATCTGTCAGTGTAGCACACTCACCTCACTTCCTGAGTGTACGACGAACTCTGCTCAGTGAAGCTCATACACACACATAAACTGATTACTGATGTCCAAACTGACTGACAAACACCAGAGAAGACGTGAAAGAGACTCAACTCCCATCAGACACATATCTTATCCGACGGCTGGAAACTGAACAATCATTGCTCAACCACAAGGTCTGGCTGCTAATTCTTATTGGGTTCCTGTTATTGTGGGTGTTCCTCCTTTATTTGTACTTCATTGTTGTGACGGGCTGCGATACACATCACTAACACTTAAAATGACACCTNAGGAGTCACAGCTTCAAAAACTACCACATTCAGACGCATCCGGGAGATGGGCTACAACTGTCGGGTTCCTCGGGTCAAGCCACTTCTGAGCCTGAGCCAACGCAGGAAGCGTCTCAACTGGGCCAAGGAGAAGAAGGACTGGACTGTTGGCCAGTGGTCCAAGGTCCTCTTTTCCGATGAAAGTAAGGTGTGCCTTTCATTCGGGAATCAAGGTCCACGGGTTTGGAGGAAGACGGGTGAGGAACAGAACCCAAGTTGCTTGAGGTCTAGTGTGGAATATCCACAGTCAGTCATGATTTGGGGTGCAATGTCCAGTGCAGGTGTTGGTAGACTCTGCTTTCTTAAATCCAAGGTCACCGCAACAGTCTACCAGAATGTTTTAGAGGACTTCATGATTCCTTCTGCTGAGGATCTGTATGGAGATGCAGATTTCATCTTCCAGCAGGACCGGGCCCCTGCCCATACCGCCAGAAGCACCAAAACCTGGTTTGAGGCCCATGCAATCACAGTGCTTGACTGGCCAGCCAACTCGCCGGACCTAAACCCCATTGAGAACCTATGGGGTATTATCAAGAGGAAAATGAGGGGCACCAGACCCAAAAACAAAGAAGAGCTTATAGCAAGCATCAAGGAAATCTGGACTTCCATAACTCCCACGCAATGCCACAGGCTGATTGCCTCAATGCCACGGCGCATCGAGGCAGTGATTCAGGCAAAGGGATTCCCAACCAAGTATTGACGATTGGTATATCGTTTTGAAAGTACCTTATTTTGATTGATTTGATGTGATCCTATTTTTTTTCTGCAAAAACTGAGAAGTAAATGGTGATTTCTTCACAGTATTCTAATTTTTTGAATTCCTGTTTTCGTGGGTTTTATGAGCTGAAAGCCCAAATTGTGTAAAAATTAACAAATAAATACTTGAAATCATTTAAATTGTGGGCCCTGAATCTATAATCTATGAAAGTTTAACTTTTTGAATGGAATTATGGAAATTAAACAATTTTTCCATGATATTCTAATTTTTTGGAAAGGGTCTGTATTTGTAAATCAGATTCTGATGAAGTCAGTGCCTCACCAGCCATGAAACTCACCACACATCACTGTCTATCACATATCTGGAACAAACCACAGAAAACTGCAGGTCTGCTGCACTCTAAAAGGTAATACCAATGCTTACTTGAATCACATTAGTGTACTTTACTTATTTCTCATTGTCCTGTTCATTTACTCATAGACTGTGAGTATGTATTCATTTTTCCTGAAAGAGTTATAAAATTAAGTATACTTGAGTAAACTGGACTTGAAACGTTCTGTTCCTGGACTGAACACAGAGCTCAGCAGTGCACATGTGCAGTAAAGAAGTGCAGGAGAAGTTTCTGGAAAGTTCACAGGGCAGCTGTGTCTCAGGTGGTGGAGTGGGTCGGTCAATAAATGGAAGGTTGGCAGTTCGATTCCGCCCTGTAACCTGTGTCATGGTCGCTGTGTCCTTGGGAAAGACACTTCACCCACGTTGCCTGGTATTAATGCATATGAATGGATTGTTTGAGGTGGTGGTCGGAGGGGCAGAATGGCAGCCACACCTCTGTCACTCTGCCCCAGGGCAGCTGTGGCTACAATCGTAGCTACCACCACCGGGATGAATGTGTGTGAATGAATAATTGACAGTATAAACTTTACACTGTAAAGCGTCTAGAAAAGCGCTATATAAATGTGATCAATTATTATTAAGTTTCTAACCCTTGGAAAGATCAAGTTCATTAAAATTTAGCTGTATTTACTTTTTTTTTTAAACTTAAAAATAGCAAGCATAAGTAAATTTTTCAAGTCGATATGAAGTAAACTGGATTTAAGACTAATGGTTATATTTACTTACCTTTTATGGGTGCAACTGGTTTCCTAGATTTGTTTAAGTAAGATCAACTTATCAAATTTTACAGTGTGGACATGAAAATAATAGAAAAACAAGTTGATGTCCATTTTGTTTATTGTTGTCTAGTAGCGGCCACCTGAGCAGGGGCTATGGGAGAAAGAGGGCAGGGTTTTGAGGAACAGCATTACAAAATCTGAATGTAAAATGGAGACATAAAATTTCCAAATTGAAAGAGCACGCTTCTGTTTAAAAAATAGAAAGTAACTGTAAACAATGGCTGTGAAACAGTACGTATACCTCCACCTCCTGTATCCCCTGCTGGTTGTCTCTCTGACTTCCTGTGACTTCAGTGAAGCCTAAAGCCTGGGACAAGAGTCTGAGCAGAGCCTGCCTGTGGGCTGCTTCTGTGGGGTCATGTAAGGCTTTGTGTATCAGACCTCCATCTAGACTGTGTACACCTCCCACCAGCTTCTCCTATGAGGTCAGGAATGGATGAGACAAGAGAGGAAAGGCAAAAAATGCTGTTCAGAAAAAAACATGATATGCTCAGTGTTTGTTGTGTGTGTCGTGTCTTGTGTTACTAAATTAAGTCCTAACATCCATTACAACAATGAGTACTACCCCTAATTGGTGCTTTAAGGGACACCAAAAAAAAAAATCTCATAAACACAAAAACATTAAATAAATTGAGTCAATAAATAATAATTGTTAAAAATCTAACATGAGAGGTAGCAGTTGCATCAGAATAAATGTTGATTATTAGACTATATTTATTGTCCAAGTATGAATGTAAATTATGGCACAAGAATTGCATGCAAGGATTTATTCACTGCTTCACTGAGTCAGGTAATCAGAGTTTTAATGATTCTATGGCACCTGCAAGATGGCAACAGGTACACAGCAAAAATTGGAGTGTTGAAATTTTCAGAGTTAAATGTTTCGGGGTTGATTTTAACTCTCAAAGTGTGATTTTCACACTTTCTGATTTAAATAGTGGTCAGTGTTGGAGTTATTTTACAGAGTTGATCACACNGAGATGTGCACATTTTTAAGATACCATGGGAACAAAGTCTGTGGTCTAAGACGCTCGTCGCACGCAAGGAGGGAGCAATGCCTTTTGTGTGTTAAGCATGGCGCACACAGTCACAACTCATGAACAAAATCGAACGCACTGCGGGCGTGCATCACCCCCATGCCAGGGGCCTCGTTTATCATCAGTGCGTACGCACAGATATGTGTGTAGAGCGTGCGTACGAACATTCCTACGCAAAGTATGGAATTTATCAACTTGTACTTATACTTAGGAATGTGCGTAAATATACACACAACTCTGACCATGCGTACGCACATAATCTAGCAGTAGAACAGTGAAACTACAAATAGAAAGTATTTGGGGATTGTGACCACCGGCACATTCCAGCGTGAGGTTGGAGACATATGCGGCATTTCCAGCAATCACTGAGCAGGATCAAGCCGGCAGTGTTGGATGCCATAACTCCCCTGGCCCCAGCCTACATCCAGTTCCCTTACAGCCATCACCAACGAACCCAAATCAAACGGGGACTTAACGCCATCGCTGGATTCCCAAACATAAGTGGAGCCATAGACAGCACCCACATAGCAATCAAAGCAGCATCACTAAATGAGCTTAATTTTGTAAATAGAAAAGGGTTTCATTTAATCAACGTACTGATAATTTGCAATGCGCATTTGTTGCTATCCAACGTTGTGGCTGGTGGCTTGGAGGAACGCACGACTGATTGAGCAGAACAGTTCTGTGGGTCTCCAAGCATGAACTGCTGAAGACAGCTGGCATATTGGTGAGTATTACAAAGTGTGGAAATGTTTTAGCTGGACTTGGTTTGGTTATTAAAACATCTCATCTGTAGATCAGAGTTATCCGCTGGGTGAACGTTCTGTATTAATTTGTCCTCCTCCAGTTGCAGTCATTTCTCTTTTATGGGATGTGATGCTTTTTTTGTTTTTTGTTTTTTGGCACTGAGCTTAATGTCAAACCACTTTTTAAAAATTTCTGTCAGGATCTGTCCTCTGACCCAACAAAAAGAACTGCGGTGGTTATCTTGTCCCATGCAGCATTTTCCCTTTCACTGCTCATCCCAACATTTCACAAACCAAACAATATTTTCTGGTTTGCTTCAACCTTGCTGACAATTACCTTGATTTCAGTTTCAGAAAAGTTCCTCTTTATCGCCCTTTTTGCCACGATGATGACGACAGGTGAGGAAAAAATAAATCTTCACTTGCTTTATAAAGAGGCGTGTTGTTGCCCTATATGGTGATTTGGAGGTGTTTCTGAAGGCAACGTGCAGAAGCATGGAGGTTAAGAACAAGTGGGATTTATCAACACTGATGTGCGTACGACCCCCATATGCACACTCTAAATTTCATTTGTATGACAGAATTTAGAACCTTTTCTACACACTGATGATA